TTGCCGGCCTCCAATCACACCTCACACCCAACTCAGCCAAAACCTTTATTCAATATTCCATTGCCCTCCTCGCTGTTCTCCACAGCTTCACCATTAATAAACTCCATTCAGTTCAAAACTCTGCCACCCGTACCTTCACCCACCCCAAACTCCATACCCCCATCACCCTAGTCTGTGTCAGGCTCCACTGCCTCCCTATTGCAGAATGGATCGATTTCAAGATCCTCACACTTGCATATGAATCACTTCATGCCCTGGCACCTCCCTACCTCTCACCTGGGTACACCCCACTCTATTAACCACCACCTCTGTCCAACCTCCTGTACATCCCTCGTCTCCTACACTCCACCATCGACAGCCGTGCTTTCAGCCACTTCGCTCCAAAATTATGGAACTCTATTTCAATCCCTCTACCTTACCCCTCCTTATCTTCAGATCAGACCTGAAGACCTTCCTCTTCTACCGTGGCTACGACTACCTCCCCTCTCGGCTCGGTGTTGAGCTCTGCCACTGTTAAGCGCTCCAAGATACTACCCCACATGAAAGATGCTATATAAATACAAGTTGTTGTTGTATACGAAATATAGGCTATATTCGATCTCAAACTTCTGTTGTTAACTTCACTTGGAGGAACTGTTTTCATTTCACTGGTAGTTTGGCTCAGATGATGGAACTCTTACTTCTTGGTCAGAAGGTTGTGGCTTTGTATTCCATACCACAACTGAAGTACAACACTGATTGCCAATATAATTGACGTTGGTATTCAGTGTTGTACTAACTGAATTGTTGAATGTTAACATAAGATCCATTTGGCAGTTTGGGTGGACACGAGAGAACCCAATGGCTGAGGCATGAATACTCGCCTGCACAAGTATCCACACACATACGCAACTGCACACAACAACAACTTGCATCTGTATAACACCCTTCATACGCGATAGATCTCAGAGCGCTCACAAACTCTCTTCACATGTACCCTCCCCCATCTGCATCACCCCCCACTGTCACTCATGTACACGTCCGTGCACATGCATGCCTACAGCCCTGCCCCCCGGATAGGTATGCTCACGGCTGTGCCCTCATGTGCCCATGCCCACACATCCACGCTCACGGGTACCTCAATACAATGATTATGTTTTCCCAATACAAAAAAAATTACATTTGTATAGCGCCCTTCACATTGGGAAGACGTCTCAAGGCGCTGGAAAGTTAGGGAATTGAACCCAAGCAGGGGATTGGGATAAGGGAGGGTGGAGGGCAGGAAGGGTATGATGGTGGCTGAAGCCACAGTTGAAGAGGAGAATCTTGTGACATGCGTGAAGGAGGTAAGGGAGGGAGCGAGAGAATGTGAGATGGAGTTCCAAAGGGTGGGGCAGAGAGGCTGAAGGCCCAACTGGCAATGGTGGGGCGGGCTGGACAGAATATGTGGTTTGGGGGACATGGAGCGGGATGGGCCGGGTGGGGGATGTGGAGCAGGCTGGAGCCTGCAGAGTGGAGGGAGTGGTTGATATGGGGTTAGCAGGTCACAGAGATAAGAAGAGCAAGGCCGTGGAGGGCCTTGAAGGCGAAGACAAGGGGTCGGAATTTCAATTTTCCCCAATTCATTGCATTCCTCATCTAAGAAATGGCATTCAACTATGATTTCAAATGTTAAACTCCAGTAGTTACCCCAGTGCACACTCTGGGGTTCCCAAGCCTTAGCTCTTGCCAGCCTGCGCCTAATACTCTCTGGAATTAGGTAAATCCTTGCATTTGATATAGGTAAGATGGAAGGGTTCATCCCTCCAGGGAGTGGGAGTGCGCATTCCATTCCAATAGATGGGAATTTCAATGTGTAGGTGGAATGCATCAAACTCTGTTTGGTTTGGATACTTTTGAGCATGGTGATGCATTTCCCCATGTGTCAGACACCCAGCTGATCAACAAAAAAAAGTGAGCAGGAGAGAGAAAGTGATTAGGAGAGGGAAGGTGACGAGACAGTTAAAACACTTAGAAACATTTTTTATTATTTCTATTAGAAATCCTAATAGAATAGGCATGTTCTTGTTCGTTTTCCTACGTTTGCAGCCAGTATTTCCTTGAATCCCAGTGCAATCTTTGACCAGCACGTAGAATTTCTTTGGGGCCAAGAGAAACAGCCGTCCAGAACAAGTATTACATTATCCTACTCTGCTGAACATCAACCAAAGAAAACTAAAGGGTTGGATTGACTGCATTCAGTTAAACGTAGCATGCACCTGCTTTGTCAACAACTGACAATATACACCAGACATGTGTTTGAAAAGGCTTATTTCAAGAATACACATTGCAGTCACGAGCAACAAATACCTGAAACTTTTATAGCATCTGTCTCCTATTCCCCTTTGCTATTACAGCACACTCCCATGTATGTTAGCCTGGCTCAGATGTTAGCATTCTTGCCTCTGAGTCAGAAGGTTGCTATTGCTGCATGATGGATACTTTTTCTTAAGGTGTCTGATGCGTGCAGAAATCCATCACAATGCATAAGAGTATACAAACTAGACAGAGTTCCACATATTAAAGCCACTTTTGCAATGAAATTTCACTGTGTCTCGAATGGAATGTGCACTTTCTCACCAGAGGAATGTATCCTACTTACCTAATTCCAGAGATTATTAGACGTAGGTTGCTGATGTCCAAGGCTTGGGGACCCCTTGGGGAGTGTGTGTTAGGGTGTTGCTGGAGTTTAACCAGCTAAAACTGCAACTTTCCATTGAGAGCACTGAGTATCGGGAAACTTTCCAGTACTTTTCCAGCTAGGATCACCCTACTTGATAGAGCTTTGACTTGCAAGGTTAACAAGAATCCCTGCTCCCAATGACTGGCCAGTCCTCCAAGTCCTGCATGTGAGATAGGCTGGCAGGCCTGTCAACAGCAATGCGTACCTGCTTCGCTCAGGAACCGGACTGCTGAGAGCAATGTCACTCAACTCTAACATATTCCCTTGGAGGCAGCTCAGCTCCAAGGTGACCCCAACCCGACTTACCTGCTCACCCTCCACGGTATGTTGGAACTGAGTCAGCCGTTTGTGGCAGTCTCAGTAGTCCATTTTCTGAGCCAGGCAGGTCCGCAGAACTCCAGGACACAGCCAGTCTGGCTCATCGGCAGAACATGGAAGCGTAGACCAGTCACTGGCGGCTGAGAATCACCTCACTCACCTCCTATTAACCCTACAACCCCAGGGTAGGGTGGTCCTAGCTGGACAAGCATGTGGGAAAGCTTACCAGACAGCAGCCTCTCCACTGTACCCTCCCCCATTTGTTAGCATGTAATCAATTAACTATCCTGTAAATGTTTATATATTTTTTAAATTCACATCTACTGTGTTTCCTTGTTATCTGAGCAATTTATACAGCATCACCAACCCTTCCTTCTTGGGGAGGCATTTGCCTTTCCTTATTATTGAAAGCAAAGCTACCCAACTCAAACTGACCTCAAATCTGCTGCTGATCTCCTAAACTCTCACTCCCTCGCAGAGGCTTTGCATTGACTCATTTTGTGAGTCTGAATCTGGCTGGAAAGGGAATTTCAGACTTTCATCAGTCGAGATTATGGTGTTATCATTGGACAGTGCGCAAGCCAAAAATATATTGTAAATAATTAGGGAGGAAGGAGTGAGTTTTTCTACCACTTATTTAAACCAAAGAAGAAAATGTGTTTAAATAAGGATGTACCATCAAGGTTTGTTTCTCTAGTTCATTTTAATTCAGTTTTTCGATGTAGAGACAACCAAACAACCTGATTAATATTGTGACTAATTGATTTCCATATTTAATTTGAATAAAAATGATGATAATAATTGCATGGGATATAGCGCCTTATCACATCAAAGTGTTTCACGGGACTATAAAATCATAGAAATTTACAGCGCAGAAGGAGACCATTTGGTCCATCAAGTCTGCACAACTCTCAGAGCAAGCTGTACTTTCAATCTCACTGTCCTGTCCTATCCCTATGTGTGTCATCTTGGCTCAGTGTTAGAACTCTCATATCTGAGTCACAACGTTATAGATTCAAGTCCCACAGCAGGACTTGAAGTCACATTGTCTAAGAAAACACTCAGTGCACTGGAGGTGGCGTTTTGTGTTGCATTGTCAGAGGTGCTGTCGTTCAGATGAGATGTTAAACTGAGGTCCCGTCTGCCTATTCAGGTGGACGATAAAGAGAAAGGAGTTTCTCCCAGTGCCCTGGCCAACAATCCCCCAGATCATATATTTCTAACTTTTTTGGTGGGTAAGACTAGTGTCTGACACATGCGAAAACCCCCCATCACCATTCTTAAGAGTAGCTATGGCTCTATGTGGAAAAATATTATAACTTAACAGCAGTTGTTAGAAAATAGTTTGTTATGTGTTATACTAAGGATGTGTGATAATTGTGGTTGTTTGAATCTTGATGTTGGCAGCCTGGATGAAATATGGATCATCAACTACAGCAGATTAAAGGAGTTAAGCAGAGTTCATAAGGTTAAAAATTACAGAGCTTGTGGAAGCAATGGTCTCGATATTTCATTTCACGTATATCAAAGCATCAGCACAAGAGGTTTATAGTTGTAAAGGGGAATTATAGCACAGATATTGTATTTCTATTAGCCAGATGAGTTAGTTATAATATAATGATTCCGGTATTTCATAAAACCCCCATAATAGCCCCTAAAACAGCTCAAAACACTTTGTGGGAAATTGCTGTCAAATTATGATTTTTGTTTTTTGGTCAGCCAGGTGTCTGACACATGCAGAAACCCATCACCATGCTTAAGAATATCCAAACCAAGCTGAAATTTCCATGGATCCCACCTACACGTGGAAATCCCAAGGATAGATTTCCGGAATAGAATGCGCACTCTCTCTGCCTGGAGGGACGCATCCTGTTTACCTAATTCCGGAAACTATTGGCGCAAATTAGCACAAGCCAAGGCTTGTTGCACTGTGTGTTTGTGCGTGAGTGTTTTAATAGCTACACTTTGTTGTCATTTTCAGAGGCTGTCTGTCCTACACGAATTCCCGTTGCATCTCGAGATGAGAAAGGTTTTGATATCCTCGTCGGATTAGATATTCGGAAAAAAGCTGGCAAAACAGTAGGCTCATACCATGGTAAACAAGCCTATAAAGTTTCATCTACTGTTGATTTAACAGAAAATACAAGGTATCTGTTTCGGCTTATTTTATGCTTAAAGAATCATTTCCTTTTGTCTTTCCATTGATCAAACAGATTGTAAAATCCAGCATGCAGTATTCCCAATCTCAAACCCGTAACGTTTTATTGCAGAGATATTTTTCCTGATGGCTTACCTCCTTCATACGTCTTTGTATCCACACTGCGATTCAAGAGACCGGTAACTAAGGAGAAATGGGATTTATGGAGGATCCTTGCTCTGGATGGCACGATCCAAACAGGAGTTACGTTGAACGGTGCAGCTAACACGGTCATCTTTTCCACCACGCACTCTGTGAATGACACTCAGGCTGTCATCTTCAGCTCTCCTGATATAAAGGTAGGCATGACATTGCATGCTGTCTGAAGACTGACCTGTCCTGAGAGTTGCCTAACTCTTTATTAGGTCTATTTGTGCGCCATTTTAAAACATGTTTGGAAACATTATTCATGCTTTTGTCACTTCTTGCCGTCAAATGAACTCCATACTGGTCACCATCGGGAAACACAACTTTATTCAAAACTGCCTTCCCAATTATAACATTTCTTTTAAATAAGGGAAGCGATCTCATGAATTACCTTATTGGCATAAGGAATTATTCCACGCACAAAATAAAAGTTACGAACCGTTTATTTTTACGTTGGCCAAAGCACGCACGAGAGGCTCCCATCTTACTTCCGGTCAAACATACTCTAATGTGCAATGCATTACAGTCTACATTTATATAGAACAAAAACAGAGAGACGAAGGGTCATGGACCCGAAACGTTGACTCACTTTCCTTTCTCCATAGATGCTGCCTGATCTGCTGAGTGTTCCCAGCTCTCTCTGTTTTTGTTTCAGATTCCAGCATCTGCAGTATTTTATGTTTTGTACATTTATATAGAGCCTATCTCGTCAGTAGAATGTCTCAAAGCACTTAACACTGAGCACCCTGAGCAGGAGGGGGGAATTGAAGAGTGTGTGGAGGGGAAAGCTGACTAAGATGATTATTGAGCATGGCAAACCTTAATAATACTTCCAAAAAAAATCGGTCACTCAATTCACGACTGTTTGTAGGACACTGAGCAACTGTATGTAATTGGCTGCCGCGTTCGCCCACAAATATACAGTCAATTCACTTTACAGTGTGTTCTGTGAAGCGCTTTGGGATGTCCTCCCGACGTGAAAAGCGCTATATCAAATGCAAGGATTATTATTATTATTAACTATACCAATATCCCCATAAATGCAGAATATTTTACAGAAGTTTTTACTCCCTTAGTCGTATCTTGAATGAAATAACTCCTTGGGCAAGAATTTGCTTGGGGTATATGAGAGACGGAATAGTTATGTTTTGTCTCAAAATTTTGGACACGTCAGATAGACGATGGTAGTCTTTCTGATCCTGGATGCTCCTATGTTCCTCTGACCCTGAAATAATGATTATTTGAAATACAACAGGGTTTGGTGCAGATCTGACCTCGGTGCCTTAAGTTAAATATGACTGCCATTTTTATGTGACTATTGCATCGATTAGCTAACGAGAAAAAGAAAGCTAATTTCTGTTCTTGTGGAGATTTGGAAGTTGGTCAGGTAACGTTGCAGCCAAGTAAAGGTCAGTTTCCCAGCCAAGAAATGACATATTGTACAAGTATGAGGGGGTTGTCTGTTTGCTTTCTCCAGTCTAGCGCTGGAACAACACAGAATTTGGCAAACATTCCTGATAGGGACTTTTTGGCACCGTTTATCTGTCTGTCTATGTCTCTACGTCTCTATATTTCTCTCTCTCTCTCTCTTTATGTCTCTGTCTCGCTCTGTGTGTCTCTCTCTCTCGCTCTATGTGTCTCTCGCTCACTCTCTCTCCGTCTCTCTCTCTCTCTCTCTATGTCTCTGTCTCTATGCTCTCTCTCTCGTGGAATCCTGTAGCTCAGTGGTTAGAGCACTCGCCTTGCAAGAGAGACCTGGATTTGATTCCTGGCAGGGCATAATGTTGGCCAAATTTCCTTACTCCACATGCCTCTGTTTACCTAGCAGTAAGTAGGAACCCAATTGTTAGAAGATTGGCAGATGCTTTTCTGGGGGTAATAATTCCTAAAAAAACATTGGCCACTTCAATCTACCATTGTTTGTGGGACACTATCCTGAATGGTGATTGAGTCAGGATTCATATTAGCTTTAAAGCAGAAGTAGATAGATAGCTGAAAAGGAATCATTTGAAAAGATGAGGGAAAAGTGGGTAGCACAATCCAGGCTCCACAAGCTTTTTAGAACCCATCCTCACTCAGCTTCCTTGGATCCCCATCCCCAACGGATCGAATTCAAGATCCTTATTCTCAGCTTCAGATCCTTCCTCTCTATTTCTCCCTTTACTCTATCTCTGAGACCTCCTTCCTCTCTCGCCCTGGCCACTTCCTTCGGTCTGCGAACAGTAGCCTGCTTCATGTTCCCTGCCCTATCTACCCCACCATCAACAGGTGAGCTTTAAGACATTCTGCCCCCACTCTTGAGAACTCCATCACTGCGTCTCTCTGACTCGCTTGCTCCCTCCCTTCATTCAAGGTCCATCTTAAGCAATACCTCATTAACTGCGCTTTCAGACAGCTTTCACTTCCCCACCCCCCTTTGACTCCCACCCCCAGCTCAGTTGCCCAGCCAGCAATGTCACGTCCTCCTGATGTGAAAGGTGCTACGATAAATGTAAATTGGACCTAATGGCTCGTCGAGCACAGATACAATGACCCTCTTCTATGGATTTCTGTAGGGGAAATGAACTTTGTGTTCACTTGTGCTGCTGCGTTTCTAATGAGTTCTTTCACCTCTGCAGAAAGTCTGTGACACTGGCCAGATATGATCAACCCTTCTGAACTCATGTAAGCTTGCCAGTTATTAAATAGGAACCCAGTTCTTAGTCGATTGGTGAATTGCTTTCCAGGACTAACAAGCACGTGCAAACCTTAATAATCCCTTCAGAAAGAATTGGTCACTCAATCCATGACTGTTTGTGGGACGCTGCTATGTGCAATTGGCTGCCGCATTTTGCCCACAAAAGAAAATACACTTTATAGTATATTCTGTGAAGCGCTTTGAGACATCTCAATGATGTGATATCAAATGCAAGGATTATTATTTTATTAGAATGTACAGGATGTGCTGTACTTTGAAACCAAAACTTGTATTTGTAACAATCATAATCTGCACTTCCTCCCTGGCTCTACACACACGCTTGGCAGAAAAGTATTGCTTTGTGTTTGGCATTGGAACATACTGCCTGATTATTTTCTATTGTGGACGGATTCAGCAATTTGTATTCAAATCTGCTATTAGTATTGTGAAGGGATTTCTGCAGTGTTTCCTCAGGGAAGGAAGATTCATGTACAGACAGATTCCTATCTCTGCTGTGTATTATCCATTACCTGTGGTTCTTTGTGGCTCTGCCTCTGCTATTTGCCTCCTGACCTCAGGCTCTGACAGCATCACCATTCATGGTTGCAACTCCACCTTGCTAAGCTAGTCTTGTTTGACCCTCAACTATCCTTTCTACCCCACATCTGCACCATGACCCGCTCTGTCTTCCCCCACCTCCGCAACTCTGCCCAGCTCCAACATTGCCTCACACCGCAGGCCGCCGAAACCCTCATTCATACCTTCATTACATCAAGGCTCGACTATGCAAACTCATTGCTTGTCGGCCTCCCCAACTCCTCCCTCCACAGGCTGCAGATCATCCAGAACTCTGCAGTCTGTGTCCTCTCCGCGACCCTATCACCCCCATCCCCAGGCCAACTCCACTGGCTTCCCATCACACAGAGGATACAGTTCAAGATCTTCTTTAAAGCCCTCCATGGTCTTGCTCCCCCCTACCTCTCCGACCTCCTAACCCCCTACCATCTTGTTCACTTCTTCCACTCAGTGGACTCCGGGCTGCTTCACGTCCCTTGCCTTGCTCGCCCCACAATTGGCAGGCGGGCCTTCCTCCACTCTGCAACCACCCTCTGGAACTCCATCCCAAACAGCTGTGGATTGAAGTGACCAATTTATTATTTTTTTTTGAAGGAATAATTCCCGCCAGAAACGCGATCCACCAATCGACTAACAACCAGGTTACTACTTATTGCTAGGTAAACAAGGCATGTGGGATAAGCAAACCTGCCCAACATTTCGCCCTGCCGGGAATCGAACCCAGGTCTCTCGCTTGCTCTAACCACTGAGCTACAGGATACGAGGGCCATTGAGCCAGTGCTTCACTCGCTTCACTTCCATTCCTCCCAAACAACAACAACTTGCATTTACTGCAACAACTTCCCCTACTGGAGCAGACAATCGTTACTTAAAAAGCCACGACAATGAAGAGAATAGGATCTCCCAAGTTCACAAGATTGGTTTGGGTCAATTGGTTGGTTCTTCGACCCAACCAATCTCATCCCTCCAGAACACCCACCCTACAATACCCCTATCACAGCATCAAGATGTTTTTTTTAAATAAGCCCAGTGTTCTTCCCTCAACCAACTTTCTTGCCAACTTGTACCAGTTGTTGATTCCCCTCTGTGTAAAGAAAAACTTCCTGCTAAGTGTCCTGAATTTGCCCTTTACAACTCTAAACCCATGTTCTCTTGTTCTACTGTCACGATACTTCCTAAAGCATTAATCTGTTTCATATAGTTGGTTCACTTTACAGAATAATCTGTGAAGCACTTTGAGAGGTCTCGAAGACTTGATAAGGCGCTATATCAAATGCAAGGATTATTATTATTGTTCTGGGGTTAATTTTCAATCCTGTTTCAAATATTTTACATCTCTGGGAAAAAGAGGTGATAAAATCCAGACCAAAAGTAAATGCACAGATGTTGAAAAGAGACTGTTTTCTGTTATCCCCTCTCCTCAAGGTGTTGTTTGATGAAGAGTGGCATCAAATTCGGGTCCTGGTCACAGAGCGGGATGTAGCCTTGTATGTGGACAATAAGATGGTCGAGAAAAGACAACTCGATCCTGTTCTTGGCATCTTTATCAGTGGAGTTACCGAAATAGGAAAGTACCATGGGAAAAAAGCCACCGTACCGGTAAGTTTAAACCTTTTGAGCAGGTTAAGTATTGATGAACAATGAAGCTGCTTATTGCATGTTGAAGGGTTGAGAGGGTATCAGCTCTTAACAACCACAATAAATTGAATTTATATAATGCCCTTCAAGTCGGGAGGACATCCCAAGGCAATGGACAATGCATCCAAACTGTGGGTTGGAATCAGAGAGGATGGAGGGCAAGGGGTGGTGGAAGAGGGAAGATGATTGAATGAAGGCACAGTTGAAAAAGAAAGTGGGGAAGGTAGAGCAGGTCAAGACAGTTGAGGGTCAAACAAGAACCTGGAGTGAGGAGGCGCTGACTGAAGCCAGGCAAGAGAGCCTCAGTCTTGTTGACATTCAACTGTAGGAAATCGGCTCTCATCCAGGACATGATGTCTGACACACAATCCGTCAGGACAGCAGTGGTCCTGGAGCCAAGGGTGGAGGTGTAGATATGGAGTTAAAACAACAACAAGATTACATTTCTATAGCGTCTTTCACATCGGAAAGACGTCCCAAGGCGCTGGACAGTGTACAGCATTTCAGACCTGACCAGGGGTCAGTGGGGAGAAGGGAGGGGAGGGGAAGGGGGGTGACCGATGGCATGGTCGAAGTGGAGGGTTTTGAGGTGGGACTTGAAGGAGGCTAAGGAGGGGGCGAGGCGGAGTGATTGGGGGATGGAGTTCCAGAGGTTGGGGTCAGAATGGCTGAAAGCTCTCCCGCCAATGGTGGGGCGGGTGGGTCGGTGGACGTGGAGCAAGCTGGAGCTAGCTGTGCGGAGGAAGCGGGTGGGTTGGTAGGGTTTAGGAGGTCACAGTGGTAGGGTGGGGCGAGGCCATGGAGGGCTTTGTAGGTGAGGACCAGGATCTTGAACTGGATCCTCTGAAGGTTAGGGAGCCAATGGAGTCTGGCGAGAATGGGGGAGATGGGGTCAAGGAGTTTGGTGCAGGAGAGGACACGGGCTGCAGAGTTCTGGATTATCTGCAGCCTGTGGAGGGAGGAGTTGGGAAGGCCGACAAGCAGAGTGTTTGCATAGTCGAGCCTGGAGGTGATGAAGGCATGAACAAGAGTGAGGAAGTTAACCCCATGCCTGAGGATGATAACCCCGAGCGGGAGAATGCAGATGTTAAAAAGGAGAGGACCAAAGACTTTTTGAAGTTGCTTTGTGATTTCAAAAATGTGAATGGTCCACATTTTAATTTCAAACGCACAACACAGATTTTTTTTATTTGCAGTTTGAAGTTCAGAAATTAAGGATTTACTGCGACCCAGAACAAAATGCGCGAGAAACAGCTTGTGAAATTCCAAATGTTGTAAGTACATCTTTTAACACCATTTAAAAAAAAGCAGTAAAATGCATCCATTTTAATAACTACAATTCAGTGTCTCAAATGCACGTGATTTAAAACCAGCAGCGTAAATGCTGACTCTTACATGCCGTTTTTTTTAACATGCTTGTTTAATAATAATAAAACTTGCATTTGACACAGAGCCTTATCACTTCATTGGGACGTCTCAAGGCGCTTCACAGAATATATTGTAAAGTGTGGTGATTGTGTATTTTGTAAACCTGGCAGCCAATTGTGCACCGCAGTGTCTGTGGATTGAGTGACCACATTTTATTTGAGATATTATTAGCCCTGGAAAGTAATTTGCCAATCGACTAACAACTGGGTTCCTACTTCCTACTGTGTAAACAGAAGCGTCTGGAGTTAAGAAACTTACCTAAGGTTTTGCACTGACCTGGAATTGAACCCGGGTCCTCACGCTTGAGAAGCGAGCGTGCTAACCTCTACGCTACAGGACTCCTCTGAGATTTTATCCCTGTTTCGACCAGGGATAAGCTCACTGTGAAATCTTAAAGCCTGATATTTCGAATAAGGCCAGTCTTTTAAACCATTAGTGCCTCCTGTTGGCAAGAGTTCTCAAAGTGCTTCACAGTCCCGGATGGGCAGTCGATCTGGGGGTGTGAATCGTGGGGGGTGGTGAGGGGGAAGATGACTGAAATCATGGTGAAAGAGGTAGATCTTGAGACGGAGCTTGAATGAGGTGAGGGACCGACTGAGTCAGAGGGACTCTGGGATGGAGTTCCACAGAGTGAGGGCAGATGGGCTGAAAATTCACCTGCTCATAGATGGGGAACATGAAGCAGGATGGGAGCGGCTGGGTTAGTAAGGTGAAATCCTTGGCTGTCCAGTACTTTGGGATGTCCTCTCAACATGAAAGGTGCTATTTGAATGCAGTTTGGTGGTGGTGTTGTTGTTTAGCTCCTCGTATCTGCACATATTGATAGGTTTATGAATGAAGCACAAATGTAATCCCTAATATAAATATTCTTCTTGATCTACTTGAATATTAAGTAAAATGATCAATATAAAATACGACATTAGCAAGTACTTTATCACATTCAAATTACAATACACTTTACAAGAAATCCTATCAAATGCTTTGAAATATGCTCTGATTTGAAAGGCGCTGTACCAAATTCAAGGTTTATTATTGTAATGTATCCTATTTTTTCCAAAATACAACAACAACAACTTGGATTTATACTGCGCCCTCCACGCTGGATGGCGTCTCAGAGCGCTTCACAGTAACGGATCCCGGGGCCGAGCCAGGGGGAGGAAGGTGACCAAAGGCGCGGTCGAAAAGAAAGGTCTTCAGCCAAGACCTGACAATAGGAAGAAAGGGGGCGAGGTGAAATACGATCAATGGAAGGGTTATAGAATAATATTCAATGGTTTGCTGAGCATTTGAGATGTGGGAGAGCTGTGACCGACCCAAATAAAATGGATAAAATCTTGGAGGAAAGGAGCAGTAAGAGAGATACAAATGCCAAGAAGAGTGTAAGTAGGGAAGGCGAGGAGAGAATGAGTCAAGTTTGCTGGGTGAGTAAAAAAGACGACGAGGAAATGCGAGTCAGGAAACAAGAAGCAGTGAGGTTTCGATCTGGGAGAAGAGAGTTGGAAGGGAAAGAGGAACAAGAATTTGATACGAGATCACAAGGGATATTTGTCAGGAGCCTGTATTGAGGAAAACCTTTGATCTGGAAATGTGGAGCGATGGAAAGAGTAAGGAAAGGGGTGGGTGTGGGGGGATGCGGGAGGTGGGGGAGCGAGGCGTTGAAGGTATCATCCAAAAACAGATATGAATTAGACATCTGGAGAAGCAAGCAAGTAAGATGGGACCAGGGGTCAGAGATTTGCAAACCTGGAGGAGGCAGGAAGAAAAGCTAAAGTTACTGTGTTTTGTGTATGAGTCAGATTTGGACTACAAAGACACAGTGATAATAATAATAATCCTTGCGTTTGATATAGCAGGTGGAGTCCTGTAGCTCAGTGGTTAGAGCACTCGCTTTGCAAGTGAGAGATCTGAGTTCAAATCCAGGCAGGGCGAAACCTTGGGCAAGTTTCCTTAGTCCACACGTCTCATAATAATCCCTCCAAAAAAACAAAAACAATAATAAATTGGTCATTTTCAATCTACGACTGTTTGTGGGACATTGCTGTGCGCAATTGGCTGCCGCGTTCGCCCACAAATATACAGTCAATTCACTTTACATTGTGTTCTGTGAAGCGCTTTGGGACGTCCTCCCGACGTGAAAAGCGTTATATCAAATGCAAGGATTATTATTGTTATTATTATTATAGCACCTTATCACGTGGTTGAGATGTCTCAAAGCCCTTCACAGGGTATATTGTAAAGTGGATTGACTGTGTATTCTGTGGGGGAAACAACAGTAATGTAGTTTGGGAGGTAGAAGTGGAGGTAAGAGAGGTCAAAAAACGTAAGTTAGCAGATAAGCCAAAATAAATTAAACTAGAGTTTGGATGTCACAGACCTGTACATACTTAAGACACCGAAGGAGGACATTCCATCCATTGTGCTAGTGTTTGGTCCTCCCTTGATATTGCTGCTCATCAAATATTCATCTACCTCTCACCAAAATGTGTGTGCACCTCAATTTGTTCATGGTACCCTCATCTCTGAGTCAGAAGGTTGTGGGTTCAAGTCCCATAAGAAAACTTGCAACTGATATAGTCCAAGCCGACACTGACTCCAGTGCTGTGCTGCTGATTGTTTGAGGTGCCGTCCTTTGGATGAGACATTAAACTGAGGTCCCATCTGCCTGTTCAGGTGGATCTTGTGGCACTACACTTGAACCCCGGCTAGCCGGACTAATGAGGGGACATCTGATTCAACGAGGTGGAATTTCCAGTTAAGTGTAGTTACCATGCCAGTACCGGCATTATCTTCTCCAATAATCTTATTGTTTTCTCCAATAATCCCCCCAGATAAAATTGGCTGTTGTGTTCTCCAACGAAATGCATAGTCACTACACTTTACAGAAAGTCCTGTTAAGTAACATAGTCACTCCATTTTACAGGATATCCTCTGAAGTGCCTTGGGACGTCCTCCCGACTTGAAAGGTGCTCTATAAATGGAATCTTGTTGTTGTTGTTGAAGCACTTTGAGATATCCTGAATGATGTGAAAGGCCAAATATAAGGATAATTATTATTATTAAGGATAATTAAGGATAATTAATAATAATAATAATAAATATTTAAATTGAATAACTAGAATGAGATAAGGATCTCTGGGCAGGCAGGGAATAAAAAGTCGGCTGAGTCAACAGATCTTAAAGTTGCACGTTTGGAAGCTGAGGTGAGTAAGGGGAACATGTGGAAGTATTGAAACGCAATTCAGGAGATTGGAAGCATCTGAGCCTTCACGTGTGAGTCATGGCCAGAGAAAGTGGAGCGAGTTGGGAGGTTGGCTTGTAACTGGCTTTCATCCAGGAGTTGAGGAGGCGCGAGCCTAATCACCGCTATGAGTAACTGTAGTGTCCAGGGCTATGGGAGCGTTGGAGGCTAGGAGAAGGATTTGTTAGCCAAGGGGATGCGATTCAGAAAGGGCAAGGCTCAGGTTCAAGCGCAGTGGGGATTTGAGTCAGGAAACTGGGATAAGTGAATATCGAAATGGTGAGCTGGCCGAGCA